TGAGACACAGGTGGAGGTGATTAGGGACCAAACGGGAAGGACTACAAAACGTGACAAGACACCCATGGCTGACATGTCACTTACTGTGCACTGTCCTAATCAAATGAAGGAAATTAGATCTTCTAAAAGAACGTGAGTGGAGCAGCTCCAGAGAAAAAAAAAAACAGTGTTCAAGCTTATTTAATGCTGTATAATCGTCTCCATTTTTAGTCCTGTTTTCTTAAATGTATTTTTTGTTTCTTTTTCTTTCACTGCTTTTATGATTCCCCACTCTGTCCTTAGTTGTTCCTCATGTTTCTGTTCACCGTGTGCTTTATTATAACCTGTTTGTCCCTCTCACAGCATCATTCCCTGCAGAGTTAATATCCATCCATCCATCCATCCATTATCAATACCGCTTATTCCCTCATGGGGTCGCGGGGGGAACTGGAGCCCATCCCAGTGGTCAACGGGCGAGAGGCAGGGCACACCCTGGACGGTCCGCCAGTCCATCGCAGGGCAACACACAGGACATACAACCACTCACACTCACATTCACTCCTAAGGGCAATTTCCCCAATCTCCAATCAGCCTAACATGCAGGTTTTTGGACTGTGGGAGGAAGCCGGAGAACCCGGAGAGAACCCACGCAGACACAGGGAGAACATGCAAACTCCACCCAGAAAGGTCCTGGTTCCCCCGGGATTCGAACCCAGAACCCTCTTGCTGGGAGGCGACAGTGCTAACCACCACACCACCGTGCCGCCCAGAGTTAATATCCCCAGCTTTATTCCAAATTACTGTTTTACTTCTGTTAGTGATCTGTTTAATTTTCTCCACTTTGTTTGTGTTTGGGATTTCACAGCATAATCAGACTTTTAGCATTTTCATGTTTTTTTTTTTTTTTGGTTTATTTTGTTTGTTCGGGGTCTTTTTCGTGGATTCTTTTTTGAAAATATGAATAATTTCCCAATGTTCAAGCAGAGAGAACTGTCTAAATTCGATTAGCATCACTTTGGGTGAAAGTGGTGTGAAGTGGGACAAGAGGTTCCTGAAATATAAACCTGCTCAAACCAAAATTGAATAAAATCAGAGTGAAAAAAGACAAAGAATGAGCAGCTGTTTGTTTTATTCGCTTGCCTGCACATAATGTAGTACATGCCATTTCACATACCAGCAGTGCTAGTTACAGATAAAGGAAAAAGAAAAAGTGCATGGATGCAACCATAGTGTGCTTTTCAGGTGTGGGCTGAGAAAGGAAAAAGTTTATCTGCATGTTATCCAAAATTTTATATAACAAAACAAGCACATTCCTTAATTCATCATTCAATTCAGACATGTCCATTATGGCAGAATACAAAATAATAAACACAGTTGTGATTAAAACCTCATTACATATACAGCAGGTTTGAAATGTGTTACATCTCAAAGCGATAGACGTAAAAAGGCTGAGGCAACAGAGAGGGTACGCTTTCATTTCAGAAACAAAAGGGCAAAAGACACATTAGAACAGCTCATTAAGTAAAGGGTGAGGGGGTATGTGGCTCTTTCAGCCCTTTGGCTTTGGGAAAAAAGGATAATGATGGCATTTAAATCTGTTTGATTTGACGTAATAATAAAAATATGAATAAATCTGAATTAGAAGATTATTGTGATTTTGCAAAAAAAACCAAAAACATGATTTTTATTAATGCTTAAAATCTGCGTCACAACCACCCTTGTGATGTGATTTTAATGATTGCACAACGTAGATTATTCTACATAGTATTAAGATAAAAAAAAAAAAACAATATATCCACCAATATCATTTTAGATGTCAGGAAGGTTTTGTGGCACTCTTTGTTTCTCTGTGGGAAACGGGTTAAAAAGGCTCTTTGAATGTTTAGGGTTGCTGACCCGTCCTATTTAAGGCTGTGTCCAGTACAGATATTTGGACCCGAAAGATCTCAGAATCCATTTCTGCAGTCAGATTAGAAATATCAGTTGTTGCTCAAAAGTGTTTCACACAGAAAGCTGCGACGTGGTCAGTGTGCTGACCACAGAGCTGAGGGGCAGGATCCCAGAACCACCAACCCCCCCCCCAGGACAGTCTCATGCTGGAAGAGTTACTGGATGTCTTCCTTAACTGTTTCAGCATTGTGACGTAGTATTGCTGCTGTTTTGGGATGCAAATCTTTTGGGAATTGTTTTGCCTGGTAAATGAATAATAGAAAACTAACTACGTTTGAATGTCCAGATCAGAATAGAACACACTGTACTGTGTGATGAGGTTTAAACTTCTGGCCCTTTCACTTTTCAGCTGCCACAAAATACTCACAGGACCTTGATCTACCTGTCATTTATTTAAAATCACCATTTTAAGTAAAGTTATCACAGATCCCTTACAGTTGAACAGGAAGGAAACTCAGCTTTTCAGATTGACAGAAGTGTGTTTATCTCTAACATTTTAACTTCAAATTTAGGAATTGTTGCATTTTAATTGTGATGTATCATTTTAACATAATTCTTAAAACACAGTCTTTTCTTCCATGTGGTTATTTTTCTGTCCATAAGCACAAAAGAACAATTTAATGTGAGTCTGTACATATACTTGTGATATTTTCAGATTAGTTCAGATTTGACATTTTTTAGCATTTTTGCAGCATTTACCCTGGATAGATCGGCATCTAACATATAAATATTAACATAATTCCTGCAATCTCTTTCCTCGGACAGTAGGGCCTTTAAATGCCAATCTAACTGTTGAAATAGAATTCTTCCTCTAAGAGTTTCCTGCCGAATGATGACATGATGATAGCAGCTAGTTATTATTTCCCCCTACAGTAAGTTTTTCTAATTTAAACAGTTCAGTGCACATATTGGTTGTTTTGCTTATCAGTCTAATTATCATGAATTAAGACTTTTAAGTTTAAGAATATAATTACTGACTGTATCTTACTATATATCACTGTGAGGATTTTATACTTTAAAAAAATCAGACTATTTGGCATACCTGATCTAAATGGTCAGCATGTTTGTGTTCCTGTTCAAACTCTTGTAGAATTTACAGCATCAATTGTGCACATCATGTAGTTATCCGCCATTTTACTGTGCCTTGGATTCAAAAACGGGATTCATAAATCCTACCGACAGTCCGGAGATCTGAAATCCCCTTTCTGCTGTGGGGACATTTGTGTCTCCATTACAGAGTAGGCTCACTGCAAATCAGTGAGTCATCCTGAATGGTCTTTATCACGTTACAATGAAGCATCTCTGTCAGGTGGGAATTAAATCTGAAAGCGGTTAAATATACGACCAGTTCTGGAAAATGATAGAGGCACCAAACCTCATCAAGACAACTTGATTCTTTACATACAAAAATTAGGAAAGCGTTCGGATGATCAGATCCTGCAAAAATGAGCACGGAAAAAAAGAGGCAGAGAAGCAGATTTGGCCTTTTTGAGTGACTTCATCCATAGAAATGTCAACAAAGTTTTTAAGTGTATTACTTTAATGGATCGTATCGTTCAGATGCAAACCAAATAAGAAAGAATTGAGTGAAAGGGAACAGCTGCTGCTTTTTTGCAGTTCAGTCTACAGTCTAAAGTCAGTAGATCTTTAACTTGAAGCAAAAACATGACTTTAAAATGTAAGTACCTACCATATCCCATGTCCTATAAGTACACATTTGGCATTTTAATTCGACAAATAATGTGTGAAAAAGTGAGGTAAGATGATTCGGCTTGTGGATAAATAAACTACCTACCTACATAGATGTGTGTTACGGGATGTCCATACGAATGGAATGAACACAACGGTGTAATATTTGGGGTCACAGGATTATTTAAATTTATTGGTGCACCTCTGAGGTGCCTCTCTCAACCCAAAAGAAGTTTGTTTCTATTAACCCTAATAACAATAATCATGTCCTCTTCAAATTAATATGTTTGTACATTTTTCTTCTGTCTTCTGGACCCACACTGTTTTGTGAGCATCTGAGCTACTTCTGATCTTAGACCATATTGAATAATATGCTTGTTAAGTTGTGGAAGAATATATGTAGAAAAACAGCGACAAAATTGCTTAAACAACTGAAAAGTTCCCACTAAAGTACGTGCATTTTGGAGTATTTAGTATACTGTACACCCTCCCTACATTTTCTGAACAAAGACAACTTTGATATTTTGTAATACATGGTTAAATGCCAGAGAACTGGCTCTGTAGAATGTTTTCAGAGTTCACAGTGTTCCTTGACTTCATCAGTCTGTTTGTCAGAGGTTCCCTCAGAATATGTGCAGTCAGCGATCCGCTTTTCTTTCACATATTGCCTCATGCAGCTTCGAAAAACAAACCAACGAACGAAATAAAAGTCTAAGTTTGGCACATTTAAACATGTTATACATGTAGATACACAGTTATATTAATGTACAAGCAGTGCAATATAGATTTTAAACAACAGCCCACAAAAAGGAACCGCTCAGACATTTTGTTTGCCATCTAATCATTAGATTTTCATCAGTCTGAACAGATTTGTTGTTTTTTTGCTAACTACAGACGCACACACATCAGATACATCCAAAAATATTCTTCCCACGCAGACAAGCAGACTTTTCTGAATCTTGGCACAGTTTAAGTGTTGTAAGGAAGCACTTGAATTACCGTAAGTGTTTGTTATAAATGTCCAAAATGGCGGGTGGCTGTATTGACTTAGCTTGATGAAGGCAGCTATTGCTGATGACGGCGCCTGACTGGGCTGGTGGGGTAGCGTTTTCTCTCTTTATGGGGCCGGTGCATGATGGGAGGTTTTTCTCATCTCAGCCGCAGCAGGGTGGCACTTTGAGCGCTCCTCTGAGCTCCTCCTCCTGCAGCTAGAACTGCGAGGTCTCTGTGAAGGAGATGGCGTCCGTCTTGTCCACGGTGAAGCCTCCGTTGACGTAGGATTTCTTCTCACACTCCTCGTCGTCCAGGGTGGCCTCGAGGGCAAACGGATTGGCCACGTCCACGTCCGATATCAGGTCAATCCTCTCTAGTTCCCTCTTGGATAGTTTCTGAACGATTCCGGCTCCGTAAGCATCACCCAGAACGTTGATCATGGTGCGGAATCGATCCCTGAAAGCAGAAGTTACAGGGAATCAGAACTGTTCCTGTATTTTGAAGGGGCTGCACAATATACTGTTTAAATGTTATGTGTGCACGTGCAGTAATTCCAGGGTGTGTCACGTTAACAAAGGCTAAGTCATTAAGTCACTAAGTGTTTGCTTTCTTTTTGCTCTGCACTGAACTCTTTTTGAAGGATTTCAAAAAGACTTTTTGAAGGATCCTGTTGCAAAAACCAGGAAAGCTTTGTGTATCTGTAGTGTACACGTTCAACAACCAGGAATATGAGCAATATGGCGTATGCGGCTTATCTAGGTTATGCTACATGGCAGTGTCTAGATCAGATCAGAGTAATGCTGTTATAAGTGTCTGCAAAGTACGATAAGATTAACCATTTATTCATCTGCCCATCAGAGCTTAACTTCATTTCCTTACTGTCATTCATCAGCATTTTGTAAAGTTATATCATATAAAATAAATATTGAATTTGATTTAATCGGACAGAACTGCTTTAAATTGGATTAATTTTAAGAATAAATAAATTCAATATAATATGGAAGAAAACAGAGATTACTGTTATATAGGATATTTCAGTCAGACCACTATTCCCTATTATTTCAAGCATTTCCTGAAACTCAGCTCGTGTTTTGTCACAGAAAAGATAAACAAGCACTTACAGCAGCCAATCAACAGCAACTATCAGAGTGACGTCACTGGCAGGTAATCCGACAGCTGTTAAGACTATCACCATGGTAACCAGCCCAGCGTTAGGGACTCCCGCTGCTCCAATACTTGCAACTGTTGCTGTGATACTAAAGCAAATAGGCAGCGAGAAAGAAGAAGAAAAAAAGATTAATTCATGACAACATAACCTGAAGAGAGGGCAAAAAGTTTAACAACTAAACCACGATAACTCCTACATACAAAATGTCACCAGCTATTGCAAATGCAAATGTTGTAAGGAAGTCTTAACGATGGTCCAGTGACCCTCATCTTAATATAATATTATATCTTATGTTTTAAATGTCTTACATCTTCACAATGTTTAACATGGAGTTTTGGCAAATGTTCACTGATCGGCTCTGTTCTTATTTTTAAGTAAAACTATCCCATCCCAGTGGTTCATTTTGAGATCTACAGACAAAAGTTGTGTGTTTTCAACCAGACTTTGTGTAGAACAAGAAAGAGTTCTTTTTCTGAAATCATTCAAATCTGTGGGAACAACTCTGGTGTCCTGTTTGCTACTTTGAGCAAACTAACAAACTTCTGCATCCAAATGTCAGGAGTTTGCAATATTCTTTCATGACAAGGTTCTAGGCATTAAAATGGCAATTGTTTCCACAACAGAAATAACTCCCCTGCCCCCAGTCAGACATCTAGAGCTGAGACAGTTTCCAGCGGTCACTGATAGAACAGTTCTGGAGCTCATCTGCAGCCATTCTTAGGGAAAGTCCTGGAAAAAGTCGTCTATCAACGGCTAACTGAATTTCTCCTGTGTAATAACTTTGTTTGATGCTTTAGGTACCTTGATGTATGAAAGCAAAAATGCTTATCTGCATCCTTCATGTTTTATCTATCTAATTAATTTAGTTGATTCTTTTTCTTTCTTTGTTTTTCGGCTTTTACAGTGTTTCTAAAGCCCTTTGAATTGTCTTGTACACAAAATGTGTAGTACAATAAACTGGCCTTGCCTTGCCTTAGAAAGATTTCTACTGACCACTCATAAGTGGTTGGAATTAAAATCAGTCAGATAGATTTATGCTTTCTGCTAATAAAAATAATGTACAAATTACATTAACAACAGGTGAATTAAGCCATCATGCTGACATAGTAATCCCAAACTGAAAACAGTTAAATTACAATTACTATTTAAATGTTTGAATAATGTGAGATCATGTTGGGCTGAGATGTTTTTTAAAGATTTTGGAACAAATGTGAGAGGTGGGTGTTACTCCAGTGTGGGTATGCTCACCCGAGGTCTCATTAAGACCACTCAGTAAATACGTAAAATAAAAAGAGACAAATGTGTCTTCAGTCCTCTTAATTTCCATACCCCATTAGACCTAAACAAATCATCTTTATGTACTAGGACAGGAAATAGTGGAGGTCCTGAGTTAAATAGAAATATGTAGTTGGCAGATCAAATTTGTGGGTGGAAATATTTTCCTGTCTCTACAATAACAGATCGTTCTTTTGGTTCACAGTACAGTTAAAATCCAGTTTTGTCTTCCATTCTTAACCTCCTGAGACCCGAGCTTTTATTTGGCATGCATTTTAGCTTTTTTTTTAAAGATATATGAGATACATATTTAATTAAATGTTTTTACAATTTTGTTCTGACAGTCCCATTGACTCATTTACAGTTTTTCTATTACACAATAAGAACATGATTGGATGGAAATGTATAAAACCATTTTACTTTAGATTTCAAACAGTGTCTGATAGCATCTGCTATGAGGTCAAGAGGTCAAAGCTGAAAGAAAAAAAGAAGTATCATGGTAAAGAGAGACAAAAATGCAACGTCCTCTTATGAGGACACAGGGTCTCAGGAGGTTAAGTTACGGCGAGGTACCTGATGGTGACAATCTGTCCCACGTCCAGAGCATAGTCGTTCAGCTGGGCGATGAAAATGGCTGCCACCGCCTCGTAGAGGGCGGTGCCGTCCATGTTGATGGTGGCCCCCACTGGCAGCACGAAGCGCGTGATCCTCTTGTCGATGCCGTTATTCTCCTCGGCGCATCGGAAGGTGACGGGCAGGGTGGCGGAGCTGAAAAGCATCAGGAGAAGCAGAGAAGAAAGCCCACAGAGGTTTTGATTTGCCTTTGGGGTCTTTGATTGGTGAGGAGGGGGAAGGCAACGGCGTTCTTTGCTGACCTGGAGGAGATCATGAGCGCCGTCACCAGGGCCTGAGCCATTCCCAGAGTGAACGTGTACGGATTCTTCCTCACCACGATGAAGAAGATGAGCGGCAGACAGATGGTCGCGTGGATGGCTAGACTGAAAAGAGAAGAGTTATACTGGAGATATTTGCACAAATTCAGAGTCTCTAAAGTGTTGCAAGCATGAAGGAAAAGCTAAATAAAACCATCAAAATGTCTTTGATTGCTGGATAAAATATCTCTGATAAAGGAAACTGCCTTGCTGTAGTTATATTGTACCGTAATAATTCGGAATGTTATTATAAAGTGTAAACGGGTGTCCATCGAGCAGGACTGGAAAGGTTTCTACTTCTATGGGGCTTTCTTTTAGAAGATCATACTGTTTCCATATGTATGGTTAGCTTAGGCTTGCTCCATCCATCCAAAAACATGTATGTTGGGTTGAGTGGTGACTCCTAATTGAGCGCATATGGTTGTTGGTCCTTGGAATGGACTAGAGTTTTATCCGAGTTGTACACCGCCTTTCCCAAAGACGCAGCAGATAATGGCTCCAGGCCTCTTTTGAAAAGCAAATTCTTAAAGTCCAGAAGACATTCATCTGTTTTCACTTGCTTTTTAATGGTGATGGCAGAATGGGAGCAAAATGAGGACCATTATGTCACCTGAGGTACCTTCTCAACTTATCTACTCTATATGGCAAATAGCTGTATTCTGTATCCTAACCACATATTTGTACTTTCAGAGGTCCTGAATGGTTTACCTATGTTCCCATTAAGTAAACAGAAGAGCTATAAGGGTCCAACAGCAAGACCTTTGAGGGTACCATCCCAGAGACAAACCTTCGAACCTAAAGGTAGGTTCTTTCTTTTCTGAGAATGTAAGTTTGGGAGAGAAATGGGTGGATGGCTGGATGGATGGATGGATGGATGGACCTATTTCAGGCAATTTGAGGCCCAAAGTTTGTTTACTTGCCTGCAAAAATTTGGGATTTTTCAGGTTTCCACCTGATGTATAAATCAACAGATTGGCTTCCATAAAGACTCGTAAAATAATAACTATTGTTACACTAGGTTATGAAAAATCTGGCTTTTGTTTAAGATTTTTGGGAACAAGGCCTTTTCTGATTTGTTTCCTTTTTATAAATAAAAGCCTGACCAGAGGACAGTCTTGTCTGAAATGTGCCTCTGGTTACAGATAGGTTAACATCTGATTATCTCTGAAGACAGCTATACTGACAGCCTTACAGAGAATGCATTTCTTTTTTGTGTTTTTGTAATGATAAAATTAGGTTTTTATCAGATTATATCAAGTCACATTTGAAACATCCTTGGCTGTAGGACTTTATTCATATTTTTAAATATTAAGGCAGACAAAACTGGTAATTCACATTTCAATATGCTGAATCGCGACTTTATTCAAATAGTTTTATTTTTTCCCAGTCTCTGTAAAAGGTAAGATGTTTACTGGTGTGATACCTGAAGCCCCTTAATGGTTGAGTGTACTTTAATTCTCATAAGTTTTATGAAGCTTGTAATCAAAATGAACGGTCAGGTCACATAAACTGATAACAGGTTTTTAATCAACGGGCAACAGTTTTAATGTCATTTAATTCCCTTTCGACTGAAGCTAAGGCACCTTTGTAGCTTATATGTGGATTCTGACATCCAAAATGTTGCTCCCAGTGTTAGCCTGGTGCAGGACCAACAATGCCAGAAAGTCTGAGCATTCTTTAAAAAAGCCTAAATATGTCAAACAAATAGTTTGAAACCTTCAGCCCACCCTTTGACCCAAAGAGAAGAGGATTTATGGTCAAGTCTTTAACTGTGTCACTAAAATTTAGAGGCGTGAGCAAACCTTTCATTATTGCATCTGCAGGTTAGGCAGTTTTAAATGTCCTTGGCCCTTATCAGTACCCGCCCAGAGCTCAGCTTTTACTGTATCACCGAGAGAAGAATCGGCCCAAATGGCAACTATAAATCCCAGTATCTGGAACAGGCGGACGCAGAGTAATGGGGCAGCTTACCCACTCAGCACAGTCACCATATAAAGACCCATCTTCCGGAAGATCTCCCAGTCTTCCACCTCAATGATCTTTGCAGCAATGAGGAACAGGATCCCAACAGGCATGTAGCTGAAAAAGCAGATCCAGGAAGAGCTGGAGTTAAGCTAAATTAGCAGGTGAATTAACAACAAAAAAAAATTCCAACAGTGTTTTCAGATTTTACATGATAATTCACATACACTCGTACATTTTCATCGTCTCATACGATATTTTCAAGATGGTTACTATGTTTTTTTCCGTTAGGACTTTTTTTTTTCAGTGTGAAAATGTACTATGCTCAGCAAATATCAACAGATTTCTGCCACACAGACTGTTCTAAATGTATCAAATGCTGGATATGAATATCTGTTGAGTGTTTTGTTTTGAACTTCCAGGAAAAAGGGCATTGATGATTCAATGTAATAAGGAGAAAGTAACAGTCTGTGGACATGACAGGATTTTAAATAGTTACACGTTCTACAAATTCATTTCCAAACTTGGAAGTTATGAATATTACAGACAGTTGAAAATATACAAATTTACTTGATGACAGGAAGTATACAGTGTTTTTACACCAATGTATTGTAAAGAACTGTAAGGAAATCAGAATTAAGTCAAATTAAACTCTTTATGCTGTTTTTACTAAATCTATCTTGCATAATACATAATACAACACCTAAACCAGCAACAGGTCCAACAAAGAAAGCCTCTTTGTTGTTACTCTTAATGTCTTATGGTCAATATTGGCAATGGCCCTCTTACAAATCAGGGAAATACACCATTTGTCACCAAAGTGAGTAAACCAACAGCCATCTTAAGCTATTTTTGTCTTGGTTTAGGTATTTGAGCTTTATCTGTGTATCTTTATCTGTGATAGTAGATACCTACTATCATGGTGTTTGTGTTGAAATTTGGCCTATTGGTTGAAAATCACTAACATCTATTAAATCAAGACTCACAGGTATTTGGTTATTTGTGCCCCTAATGTTCCAGAGTAAAAAAATAGAATTACTAAGCCTTTGGACGTAGTGATACCAGGGAAAATAATTTGAATTTAGAATGTTTCAATGTTGTTTTAAGGAAACTTAAAAAGCTAAGTGATTCATGGGATCTGGGTATTAAAATATTCCACAACTAGATCCTATTACTTTTCTGACATCTCTAACTACAACTGTACACTATTTTATATGAAGGTGGCTCAATCTGGACAATAATTTGTTATGATTTGTTATGCTTATGATGATCTCAGGTTAATGTGATAGTCATAGCTAAAAACATAGTTTATGTAAGTTCATAATATTGACATATGCCAGATATACAGTATATGATTATTTGCAACTGACAAAATGTTCTTACTGAGAATATCAGATTATTTTTGCTGTTGTTATGCTGTTATGATGTTAATCATGGTTACACACTTATGGTCTGTTTATAGACTTCATGTAGCAGTTTCTTATTAGAATATGTTGTGATTTAGGTTTGAGATCCTAAAGAAATCCTTAAAAAAAACTTGTTTATACACCTTGAGGAAATATGTATTTGTTAAAATGAGAGTTCTATTGTGAAAATTAGATAAAGCTTTCCTATCTACATAAATTAGGGCTTATCATTTTGATTTTCACCAAATCTATAGGAAATAACACAGGTTATTGTTTAAGACTGCTCCAAAAGTGTGCTCATTCAGTGGAAAAAGCCATCATTTGTTTCATACATACCACATAATTATCTGGACCAGTTTCATGGTGGCTTCATTCAGAGCGTCAAAAAACTCCAGCAGGATTCGGCCCTTTTCTCCCATCTTTCCAATGACGAGGCCGAAGGCGACGCAGAACACGATGAGGCCCAGCACGTTGATCCCATCTGTGTACGCCCCGACGATCTTATAGTCCTTGGTGATGTTCTGCCACGGGAAGAAGAAAGTCATGTAACCACATCCACAAACACACAAAAAGACAAGCTCCTGGGTAACAACACATGTCAGTGAACCACTATGAGAGTGTAGCTTTGAATTAAAAACAAGGTGATCCATCAGTAGTTAGATAGATAGATAGATAGATAGATAGATAGATAGATAGATAGATAGATAG